AGCGGCTGCAGCTCCCTAACCGCATCTCTCCGTTGCAGAAAGTGGGACCTCGAGGCCCCCCCGGCCCCCAGGGGCCCCCCGGGAAGCCAGGCAGGGACGGCATTGATGTGAGTCTGGGGCTGGGGAGGCAGGAGGGTCCCTGTGGGAGAAACCCCAGCCATGAGCCAGCGCCTTCTTGGGGCGCCCTCCACAGGGATCACACCCCCAGAGGGGCGCGGGGTGCACAGCAGCCTTCGGCCTGGAGATGTGGCCTCAGGGCGTCCCCCGGCCCCGGAGGGCCCTCTGGGGGGATCTCGTTTCCCGGGGCTGGGCTGGGGGCCGCGTGCCGGCTTCCTCCGCAGCTGCTCCCACACCAGCCGCCCCCCAGGGGCCGCCCCCCAACCTGGGGCAGGTGAGGGGTCTCCCACGCCTGTCCACACCCTCAGCGCCCCTGTGCCCGCGGCGCAGCCCCCCGCATCCGACGATGGGGAGTGGAGTGGGGGCCCGGGGCCAGCGGGGAGCCCCAGCCACCTCTGGCCTGTGCCGGGGGCCCCGGCGGGGCTGGGGTGCAGGGCGCCTGCTCACGCCGACTGCCCTCCGCAGGGAGAAGCTGGCCCCCCCGGCCTGCCTGGAGCCCCGGTGAGTAGCCGGCTGGGGGAGGGGCCGCTCCGAACAGAGGGTCATTCTTACCTGCTGCCCGCGGTTGGCCGCGCCGGGAAGTGGGAGGGGCGTGGGCCGCCGGGCGGCCGCTGCTGGGCTTTCTTTGGGCCGGTGCCCGGCAAGTGGGGCGGGGGAGGGTGGTCCGTGCGGCCCAGCAGGGCCAGCTGGTCAGTCAGGCCCCCCGGGACGGGCTCCAGCACCCACCTCCATCAGGCCCAGGAGTGGACGGCCCACTGTGTCCCCTGGGGGCCGAGGGGAGCAGGCGAAGGCCCAGCGGGGGCCGCCGAGCCTGGGGGCAGGGTCTGCGCCCGGCGGGCCGGCTTGGGGGCCGCGACAGGACACCCGCTCACGCTCTGTCCCCCGCAGGGAGCACGAGGCGGCCCGGGGGAGCCGGGGCGGCCAGGGGCGGCCGGGCC